GCACTGCACATCATCCATTTACACAAACAAACAAATTCAAATCGCCTTTGCATTTTGATGCTGCACCACCAGCACAGAAACTGGCGTGTTAAGATCCGCCGCCGCCAGCATATCCCCCACCGGCCCGAGCTCCGGCAGGTCATTCCACTCGCTCAGCCCCAACAGCTGCGGGGTGTCCTCCTTATGCCGCCTCCCGACCATAATCAAATCGAACGCCTCCTCCATCGCGTGTATCATCAGAGCAGTCTCCGCCCCATCCTTCACCCTCTCCTCCTTGTACACGATATTATCCTGGTGGGCCCCCTGCATCCTCGTATCCTTCAATATCTCGGCATCCAGAACGGCATCCCACTGACTATCCCCCGCGTATATATCCCACGGCACGAAACGCACCACCGTCAAGTGCACGTCCGCCGACTGGGCCATACGCCTCGCGTAGGCTAGCGCCTCCCTGTCGTCGGTCCCGCCAAAGAACGCAACGCCTACGTTGTACGTCTGAGAAGGGTTCCGCCGCACCTTGTGTCGGTCCACCAGTATCCCCACCGAGCAAGGCGCCAAATCAAGAACGTCGCAGTTTATCGACCTCAAACTACTACTATCAAGAATCATCTTCCCCTGGTGGTTCCATTTTCGATGGAACGGTAAAATAATCAAAGACGCCAACTTGTTGAATGCCACCGTGCATATATCGTGGTGCATGAATTTCGTCAGGGACATTGCGGTAAATTGCTGTACCGTAACTACCCCTTGATACTGCTGCTCGAAGAAGGAAAGAATCTCAATCATTTTCTGCGTTCGTGTGCCGCCGGACGATTTCTGACCTAATTGATGGTCAATAAGCTGAGGGTGGGCCCTGCCCACGAGCTCCACCAAATGGAGGGCGTAGACTGCCAACGGACTTTCCTTCCTCGGAAAAGAAGCTTCTAGAACCTTCCGGGCTGCTAACACGTCATCCACACGGTGCGCACACGTCAGCACACGGAGCTCGGAGTTGGCCGTTGTGTGCTGGATGTCTCTTTTCTGGTAGCCAGTGTACATTCTCGAGTAATCGTACAACGACTTCACTATTATGTTTGCTGCAGCAGCTTGTATTAGAACCGATGTCGTGAGCATGGAAAACGTTTCTCCGTCGAATGTCTGGTTCACAGCGTTGTAATAGTAAAACGACATCTGAACGACTCCCTGACCACTCATTACGAACGCGAGCGCCGCAGCATCTTTGACCGGCACTCTGCAAATCAACGCCGGAATGAAAATTGCGGCCAATTTAGTCAGCAGGCAAATGCCGAGAACTAGCCACACCGTGCCGATGAATTTCAGATCGTACAGCTCGACTAGATTGACTTTCATTCCGCAGTAAGTGACCAAAAGGGGTGCGAGCAAACCGGATATTAACGTCTCCAATCTATCAACGAGTGTGGCTCCGAGAGGCGGGCCATCTGGCACAGCCAACCCTAGTAAAAACGGACCGTACATATAGTTAAGCCCAGCATTGTCGGTAAGCAAGACAACAACTAGTACGAGAAGAGACGTGAGAATTATATGGAATCTGCAGACGGGTTTTCCTTCCGGAGTCTTCTGGATGATCCACAAACAAAGCGGGCGACCCACGAACAAGATAAACATAATCAGGCCGAGGGTTAAGACCGACGAATGAACCATGATAGCACTAGCGTACCCCATTTGGCCCAACCTCCCGTAGGATATGATGGTGGCCGTGAGATTGCTGGTCAGATCGCTGATCAGGGCTGCCGCCAGAGCGAGGCGGCCGAGCTCGGAGTTCATGATTTTTAGGTCGACGAGCATGGAGGCAATAACGGGGAAAGGGAATAGATTCTGGATACCGATGATGTTTTTGTAAGCCGGCCAACGGTACCTGTGGATTCTGTTCTGGTTGACTATGGTCAACACCAAGCCACCGCTGACCGGGATTGTGACAGCGAGGACACCGATCGTCCAAGCCTTGATACCGGTTCTTAGCACGGTTCTTGGATCCATTTTCACGCCGCTGAGGAATATGAAGAAGATGTAGCCGATTTTCGACAGCAAGTCCAAATAGACGTCTCCTTCTAGCGGGAACAATGCGGATTGAATGTTCGGCAACTGTCCTAGAATCGTGGGTCCCAGTATGATTCCAGCCTGTTCGAAATAAAAAACTCCAGTGAGTTTTATATGTACTAACATCTGGCTGAAAAACAACAGCAAACGAAAAAACACCAATCGATTTATAAACAAAAATTTTGCAATCAAATCTACTTGTTCTATAGTATGTAATTGCGTATAATGTTCAGATAATGAAAAAACAACCAAACGCAAACACACACAAAATCGTGCCTCATTCAAGCATTTCATCAAACACTACATAGGCACCCGGAACAGGGCAACAATCTCCCAAATCAAAACGAAAATGGAGAACAAATAATCAGGCCAACCGTTAATTTCCACACACACACACACACAGAGAGAGAGAGAGAGAGAGAGAGAGAGAGAGAGAGAGAGAGAGAGACCAGGATCTCTGAAACAAGGCGAGGCAAATGGAAACGGCGGAGCAAAAGATGAAGTGATTGGGTGAGGATGAAAATGACAGCCAATTGAAGCTGTAGGCGGGGCAAGGTGTACTGGAGGAAGGTTCTCTCCCCATCGGAACCCCAGACGCCGGGGGAATGCAGCCCTATATCGACGGAGCATAAATCACCCGCCACATTTCCGGGCAAATCTCCTTTTGCATTAGGATCAATCTTACCGGCACCAGCGTCTGCCATGTTCGTCCTCGTCGATCAAATCAGCTCCTGCTGCTGCACCCCCTACCCACCACCACCTACCCCCTTCAATTGATCTTCATCAGCGCGCCAAGGATTGACCTGATTTTTTTTCCCCGTTTGAGAAGAAAGGTTTTGCCATGGGATTTTGATGGTGGAAAAGGGGATTTTTTTTCTCTGGGTTATCTTGAAATGGACGGACCTCTGTCGGGTTCTTGCCCGACAAATGTTCGCAGCCATTTGAGCTCTGTATTATGTTTTACGTTTGTTTTGGTTAATATGTGGTATACCTATATTTATCCACTTACTATAAATAAAACTAAATAAATTTTAAATAATTAAATATTTGAATTTTATTAGATGTTTATTTATTCATTAAAAATTATTTTTTGACATTTTTTTTAAATATAATTATATAATTGAATTATCATAAACTTACATAATAATTATATACTAATCATATTTTTGACATAAAACTGTTACTTGCACTCCCTACGTTTCATAATAAATATTTTTATCTGTCATTTTAGATTTCCAATGCTTGAAGTACATATTTTCATGTTTTAACTTTATTAGTTTAATTAACTCTCTTTATGACATCAATAAACGACTAAGGTTATTTTAGTCTCTTTTAATGTATTTTTCGTAAAATTAAAACAAGTTTATTGACATTGATCCTAATACTTTGTGAAAAAATAAAAAATGACAGTTAATCGGAAACGTAGAGAAGAAAGAGAAGTTAGTCAAAGATGCGATACGATCAATGATACAGTACAATATACACACGAAAAGGATACTCCATATATTTCCGATATGTTAACCATGCATTGAATTCCCTTCATTAACTCATTTGATGAGAGAAATTATTTGATATTTGAACTCATTTAAAAAAATATAGGGTAAATTCAACTTTATTTCTTGTACTTTGGTTCGATATCATTTTACCCCCTTCTAATCCTGATTGCATCAATTTCCCCCCTTCTAATCCTGATTGCATCAATTTCCCCCCTTCTGTCTACTTTAAAATTGTCTCAATGTGGCCCTCGCCGTTAATTTTCAGATCTTTAACCTTAACACCATTTGATCTAAGCTCGAAAATTACAAAAAAAAAAGTATCCCTCTCATTTTAAATAATTATTAAAAAAAACATAAATTAAAAAGCGAAAAAATAATAATAAAAAATTCAAGACAACGAGAAAGCATAGTCCACTGCGGCATCCACAATTTATTTTTAATTTTGTAATTTTTTTTTTAATTTTTTTAATAATTATTTAGACTAGGAGGCGTGATTTTGATCAAACGATGTTAATGTTAAATGTCTAAAAACTAACATTGAGACAATTTTTAAAGTAAAAGGGGGAAAATCGATACAATTGAGAGTATGAGGGGTAAAGTGATATCAAGCCAAAGTATTAGGGTGGAAAGTGAAATTTACACAAAAAATATATATATAAATAATATGAATTAAGAATCTTATTTGGGGGTGCGTGCCAAAGTATCTCAAACATTACTATTTTTTATCTCTGTGATTTCTCCATGGCTGAAGACAAAAATCTCTCCAAAATTCAGCAGCCGCCGGAGATTGTAGTCCTCGGCCCTCCGGCCATTTTCAGAACCTACAGCAAAGAATTCTCCTCAAAATTCCGATTACTAAAGCCATGGGAATCTCCTCTTCCTCTGGCGGAGTTCCTCGAGGCCCACGCCCACAGCACACGCGCCGCCCTCTGCTCCGGCGTGTTCTCTCTCTCCGCCGCCGTGCTCGCGAATCTCCCCTCCCTTCAGCTGGTGGTCACCACCAGCGCCGGCCTCAACCACATAGATCTCGTCGAGTGCCGCCGCCGCGGCATCGCCGTCGCCAACGCCGCCAACATCTTCTCCGCCGATGTGGCTGACCTCGCGGTGGGGCTCCTCCTCGCCGTCCTCCGCAAAATCAGCGCCGGAAATCGATTCGTGAAAAATGGATTTTGGCCGGATCTAGAAACCTACCCTCTCGGCTTCAAGGTATGTTAATTGGATCATACAATTATGCTTAGTTGTAATTTACTCAATAGGATTAACGATTAATCCCTAATTAGTATCTAATCAGCTTCAAATATGTCAATTCAATCATAGAATTGTGTTTAATTAAGTCAATAGGATTTACGATTAATCCTTAATTAGTCTCTAATCCAGCTTCAAAGTATGTTAATTTAATCATAGAATTGTGTTTAATTAAGTCATAGGATTAACTATTAATCTCTAATTAGTGTCTAACATTTTCAAAGTATGTTAATTTATCATAGAATTGTGTTTAATTAAGTCAATATGATTTACATTTAATTCATAATTAGTGTCTAATCATCGAGAGAATATGGGAATTTAGGGGTAAAATAATAATCAAGCACAAAGTTAATTTAATTGATATGTTTTAATGAGAAAACAATCCGTTTTTTATTACAATAACGCATTAATTGTAGTTAGGATGCAAGAAAGTTGGAATCGTGGGATTAGGAAGCATCGGCCTCGAATTAGCGAAAAGGCTCGAACCATTCGGCTGCGAAATATCATACCACTCGAGAAATAAGAAGCCATTTGTTCCGTACGTATTTTACCCGGACATTTTCGAATTAGCAGTTGCATCCGATATACTTATACTCTGCTGTGCATTAACCGAACAAACGCACCACATGATCAATCGAGGGGTACTTTTGGCATTGGGAAAGAAGGGAGTTATTATTAATATCGCCCGTGGGGGTGTGATTGACGAGAAGGAATTAGTGGCTTGTTTGGCGAGTGGCGAAATAGCTGGTGCTGGATTGGACGTCTTCGAAAACGAGCCTTGTGTGCCGAACGAGCTTTTTGGATTCGACAACGTCGTTTTGTCGCCACATTGTGCTGTCTTTACGGAGGAGTCGTTTGGTGATTTGTATGAGCTTGTTTCGGGTAATTTGGAAGCTTTCTTCTTGAATAAGCCTTTGGTTTCTCTGGTTGAGATGGAGTAGGGGTATTATCGTCTTTTCGCATTGGTATGTATGAGTCTTGCCTATATTAATAATTTAATTTGTTTTAATATTGGGCTGAGTATTTATTAAATTAGTCACAAAGGCCCAATTCTGATCCAGCTTATATTTCAGGCCCACATGTGTGACAAATTGAGGTCCAATTATATATATATATAGACGTGGCCACGGGCCGGTTCCGGGTCAGAGAAACATGTAACCGGAACCGAAACAGCGGTTCCGGGCTGAATTTTGGCCCACCGGTTCTGGGTAGAGCCGGCTAGAACTGGATTTTCTATAGTATTTGGTTTTATTAAAAAAAATATACATACATATGTAGACGGGTTTACATATTGTTAGAATTAAATGGGAAAGAAACAAAAAACGTGACAAAATATAGGGGTGTTCATTCGGTAAAAGCAGTTAGCACCGATAAAACCGAAAATATTCGGTTCGGTACGGTTTTTTTGCCGAATTAATTTGGGTTTATCAGTTAGCACCGACAAAACCGAAAATATATTTTAGGGTATATTACAACTACCCCCATGAGGTTGGTCAATTTATGAAAAAACCCCTCTTGTTTGGATAATTACATCTACCCCCTCAACTATGATTTTTTCTTACACCTCCACCCTTATGGTATGAAATTCAACATAATCATCTAGATTTCGTGAAATGTGCTGTAATTTGTACCCGTTTTGAGTAAAAATACAGTTTCTAATGCACCACAATTTGATATATACAAGCTTAATAACACATATTATGATCATCTTGCTTCAAAATGTGGAGTTCGAATAGGATAAAACGGGTACAAAGGTGATAATAATCCATATAATCTCGAAAATTCCACTAAATATAAAACCGCAAGGGTAGACATGTAAAAAGATTTATACTCGAGAGGATGGTTGTAATTATCCAAACAAGAGGGTTTTTTTTGTAATTTGACCATAATTGTGGTGATGGTAATTTACCCTATATTTTATTATTGGGATATTGTTCTAAAATACCTTTGAGATATGTTAATAAATCAAATAAATAGAGAATAATTGAAAGCAGAAAGCTGAGCAACTTTATGAGAAAATAATAGTGTCGTGTTAGTGGCTGTCTATCTAAGAGAAAAGGTGTAATTAAATTTCTTTTATATGATTGGTCAAAGGTCATTCGGTACTGACAGTACATATTAAGCTGTTGGATTTTTGTTTGCCACGTTTCGATCACCAATTGGTTGTTTTTATTCATCTCTCCCTCTCTCTCTCTAATCAACCAATCATCATAACCTTAATTGCCACAAATAAAAATTGACCAACAATGTTATTTTATTTTGGGCAAGGCCCATCATATGAGATTTAAATGCATTTTGGTCCAAAAAAACAGTCTCCAAAAAATTAATTCCCATGTCTTTAGTCTAAAGTATCTTCCATAATATAATTCTTATAAATTCCAATGTTTTGAAAACCGGACCGGACAGACCGGACCGGCCGGTCCGACGGGTTCAACCGCGAACCGCCGCCATGTCCGGTCCGGTTATATGTGAAAACCCAAAAACGTCAAAAAACCGGGTCAACTACCAAAATCCGGGTTCGACCGGTAAGAACCGGAAAAGTGGAAAACCGGCCGAAGAACCGGTTTTTAGCTCAAAAGAAAATTTCATGGCCGGATCCGCAACGATGGTGGTCGTAGGTGACTCAATCTTACCGGGAAAGGCCGTGGATAAACGGATCTAGGCGGATTTGGGTCATGTGACTGAAGAAAATAAACGAAGAAGGTGAAAATGTAAGTAAAGAGTAAAACGAAAAAAGAGGTGGACTTTGTCTTTGTCTGTGAGAAATTAAAAGAAGAAAGAACAAGAGGCTGAAGAAAGAAAGCAGAGGGGAAGAAGAGGATGGCACAGGGCTGGGTTGGGGCCTGGGGGCTCTGCGTGAAGAAGAAAGTAGAAAGAGGGAGATGGGAGAAGAGAGAGGAGTGAGGATTTTTTTAATTTTATTTTTTTTATATAGAAATGAAGTAAGTTGTACAATATAGTCAAAAAAAAAAAGTTAGTACAATAAAGTAATTAAAGTGGGAAGGAAATAAAAATATATATATTTAACTTAATAAAATATTTAAAAAAATTAAAAAAATAAAAAACCCGGTTGGACCCCGGTTGAACCGGTTCAACCGTGACCCGATAGCTTCACCGGGTCGATGTCCGGTCCGGTTTTCAAAACATTGATAAATTCCCTCACATTATGCTCTAACTTCCTTAATATTACACATTGACCTCAGATTTAAACAAATATATCACATTAACCCCCAAATTTTTTTTTTCAGAAAATAATTTTTTTTCTGAATTTTTCTTTTCCGGCCAAATTCCGGTGTTGATTTTTTTTTTTTTTTTTTTGATAACTTTTTTTTTCCTGAATTTTTTTTCCGGCCGGTCAACCACCGTAGACCGCCGGTCTCCGGCGTTGACTTTTTTTTTTTTATTTAGTTTTCTTAGAAAAAAAAATATTTTAATTAATATTACTATCTTGACTACTAAATTACTGTCTCAGACAGTAATATAACTGTTTGGGACAGTAATATTATGAATATTATTTCCCGAACAGTAATATTATTAATATTATTGTCTAAGACAACACTTAAATTACTGTTGGACACAGTAATTTAGCAACCAAGACAGTAATATTAATTAAAATAATTTTTCTTAAGAAAAAAAAAAGTCAATTAACAGTTAAATTACTGTCTCCGACAGTTAAATAACTACTGAAGATAGTAATTCAGCAACGGATACAATAATATTAATTAAAAATATTTTTTTAAAGAATAAAAAAAGTCAATTAACAGTTAAATTATTGTCTCCGACAGCTAAATAACTGTTGGAGACAGTAATTTAGCAACGAATACAGTAATATTAATTAAAATATTTTTCAAAAAAATCAATTAACAATTAAATTACTGTCTCCGACAGTTAAATAACTGTTGGAGACAGTAATTTTTAGCAGCTAAGACATTAATATTAATTAATATATTTTTTTAAGAAAAAACAAAATTAAAAAAAAAAAAGTCAACGCCGGAAACCGCGGACCGCCGGAAAAAAAAAATCTGGGGAAAAAAAATTCAAAAAAAAAAAAAAAGTCAACGTCGGTCAACGGCGGAGACCGGCGGTCAACGACGGCGACCGGTGGTCTCTGGTGGTGGCGGGTCAAAATTGAAATTAGAGTTAAAATTGGTTAATTGATAAAATTTGGCTAAATTGGGATGTAAATAATAAAATTGGAGTTGAATTGAGTTTCAATGAATTGGTGGTAATTTTGATATATATAAAGGGATTTTCTTTATTTGTAAATAAGTTTGAATGAACTGGATTTATTTGAAAGACAAAAAAGTTTAATGTCCCCTCTTTTAATTAAGTGTCATTGTCATGGACTTATTTGCTATTTGCCATTTTGTTTTTAACTAAAACAGAGTGTGTGGTGGACTACGCAGACCCACAACATTTTCATGCCGACATATAATTATGAAGAAATGAATTAATTAAATAAATTATTAAGAAAAATAAACTATTTAAATTAATTAACCGACATTATCTTTTCACAAATAATTGAAATTGGATTTCATAATATGTATCTTCATTCTTCTGTTTCTAGAAATTAATAAAGTTCCCCTGTTAGCCAAACCCTGATCGATGTATTTTGTTTAATCGAATAATTTTAAATCTTGACCTAATTAAGGAACAAAACATCTTAACCCTAAACCTTGAATTTAACAATCATGATTCTTACTTTAATTTTTAAAATTTAATTTATTCCTGGAAACTCATGCTGGCATACACACAGACATAGGATTCATCCACACACACACACACATATATATATATATATATATGCACCCGTACAAATCAGTACGTATTCAACTAGACCACTCATGCATGGGGAACAAAAACAACACTTGCACACTAGCTATCACAAACTGCTTTATTTCCCTCTCTCTCTCTCTCTCACACACACACACACACACAACACACACACATATACTCTCTCTCTCATAAAATTCATCTAAGTACCCCACCAATTCTTGATTTTGATCACCCTTTCTCTCTCTAAGCGTTCTGTCGAAGCCAGCTGACGAAAGCTTCGAGAGTCTTCATGTCGGACCGGTAATGCTTCTGCGTGAACTCGAGCAAAGCCGGCCACGTAAAATCGGGATACATTCTCGGATTTTCTTCGCTCACCAATTCTTTTGGCGGGCGCACGATTTTGTCCGTTTTCGGACAAAGAAAGAATGCAAGAGATTTCCTCGGACTTGTACTGTTTACCACCGCTCTATGCAAGCACCCCTTGTAAATCCCATTTGTCAAAGCCTGCATGCCAAAAAAGAAAAAAAATATATACTGTAGAACCTCGATAAATTAATAACATTGCTTAAATAATAAATCATTCTGGTCTCAACTAGGTGAGAACGTGCTAAATTATTAACTCGATAATTTAATATTTCACTAAATTAATAGAATTTTTGTAGTCCCAACTGTGTTAATTTATAGAGATTTAACTGTATATATATCAATTAATTCGATATAACACATGGGGTGTTGAATGCAACAATTTGATATATACCATGAAAGTGTCGCCGATGTTGACCAAGAAAGCGTGTGGATTGGGGGCAATAGAGTGCCATTTTTCGTCGACGAATACTTCAAGGCCACCGACACTGTCTTGATGAAGGATGGTTAGCGAAGTAGGGTCACAATGCGGGCCCGTTCCGAGAACTAGGTCGGGTTTTTGACAAGGAGGGTAGTAGTTTAATCGCATTATCGAATCATTCCCTTCGAAAAAGTCTCGGAAATAATTTTCTCCAACACCGAGGCTCATCCCAAGAATCTCCATCACTTTTAGTGATAAACTATTCATAGCTTCACAATACCTTTGGCACACACTCCTAAAGAACAGTTAGAAAAAATTAAGTCTCGAAAAGTTGTTGCAATAACCAAACATGAACAAAGGCTCAACAAAAAATAAGGCCCGAAAAGCTATTGCAGTAACCAGACATCAAATAAGGCCCAATTATTCAATTAATCATGAAATATTTTCGAGTTTCGTACCCGAATGCATCAAAATCCTCGCCCATCACATCAAGAAAGTAGCTCTCGACGACATTGCTGAGGTGGCGCTCTG